CCTCTCGTTTGCCCTAATCTCTTCTAAGCTTGCTCCATGCTACTATTCATCGCTTGATACAACATTCAAAGTGGCGCGTACGCTTGCTGGCCAATCTAGGGCAACTGCTGACATCCTTGCCTTGATGGGGTCCCTCTGGCCAAGAGCTTTGATGTCTTCTTTCCTTTAGTTTGTCCAAAAACTAGACATTCTTTGACACGTAAGTGTGAGTTACCCTTTGCTGATTTGCTCGTAAATCTAGTCACTCTTCACCGTAAAAAGGTGATAGTTATTTCCCTCGGTGTTTCTAGACAAAACTTTCGACAACATATGGCCAGCAGTCTACCGAGGGGTATGCCCACGGTAGTAGATGAATCGGTGGAGGTGCGCGATATATGAACTAGATGGTGACACAGAACGCAGAGACAGCGATTTAGGTAGGTTCAGACCGTCAGCTTGACGTAATACCCTACATCCTGTGTCTTTAGTGGACTGTATATTGTTATCAGCTATCTAGGCATTGTCGACTAGGGGACCCTACCCTACCTTATATACTCTGGAGGGTAGGGTTACAAGTAAAGTATCCTAGTCGGTTAGATGGTAGATATTCTATTTGGATTACAACATCTATAAGAGTCCTAATAGATCATATCCTCAAGACGCCTTGCGATGTACATAGACCAGAGCCGTGCGCTGCAATTCTTGATGTCGTGGGCTAGACCGTCCCTGATGGTGCGGCCCATATCCCTTGTAGTGCGTACCTGGGGTTATACCCCCACATTTAGTCCCTGAGCGCCTTGTATCTGTTGAGCAACGCTGTCTTGAGCAAGTCCGAGCAATTTGAGGTGAAGCCGACTAGTTTAACTGATGACCCGAGTGTTGAAAGTGGATGCCGACCAGTTTAACTGGTAAGCAGACCGACGAAAATAACTGCCGACCAGTTTAACTGGTTAGTAGACCTCGGACTTAACCAAGTACGGCTCGCCAAAAGGATGTAATGGGCTCAAGATAAAATTTGAAAATTCTTCCCCTTAGGAGAAGTGTAGCTACTTAGACTCCCTTTGCGAGGTCAGATGATTATCATCCATGACTTAGTTAATAAGGAGGATAAATCAGAAAAAAAAAACACTATATTCACCGCCAGGTGAAGTGTAGCCACTTAGTCCCCGAGCCTATTGATATGTGAATGACTCGCGTAGTGCTAGGGTTAAAAAAGAGAAGACTCCATATGCTAGCCGATCACAATAAATCCCCAGCTTAGCTGAAAACAATTAACAAGATAAATTAGTACATACACCGCAAAGTGCAGTGTACACACCGTAGTCCCCGAGCCCGTTAGAAGATGAAAAAATTAATCTTGTAGCAAGGTCAAAGAATTTTCATGAAAGCTTGCCAACGTCATCTGCCATGTACTTATCAAGATGCCGGACATGCTGCCCAAGATCAGCACCCTGATTCGAACAGCATCGAGCAACTTGATAGCACACCGATGAGACGTAGCAAAATCTGACCATCAAGGAAGTCCCCAGCTTAGCTGGCGACGCTTGTACGAAGAAATCTGAATGCCAAGGAGTCCCCAGCTTAGCTGGCGAGCCCCCAGCGTAGCTGACGATGAAGCCCAAGTGACGAACAATCCGACCAGCTAGTCAGTGAAGAAGCAAGCACCGAGCAGTCCAACCAACTGGTCTGCGGTGAAGTGAATGTCGAGCTAAAGTGAGCGCCGAATAGTTCGACCAACTGGTTGGCGACGAAGTCCACGAACCAAGCGGTCCGACCAGTTGATCGGCGGAGAAGTCCAACTGCCAGGCGGTGCGACCACCCAGACGATGATCCTTTTGTCCTTCCGGACTGATCCAGTCCCCGAGCGTAAAAAATAAGCTCGTTGACTGAACAGGGCCCTGCAAAACAAATATGTAGATCGGATATTACATGATGTATCTTGTCGAGCAGTTATAGATAAGCATTATGTTTATTTGGAGTTTGTTCATATTTTAAATATGAGTAATTTCCTTTCAGTTGGTCTGTATCGCATTACCAGCCCCAACCAGCCCATACTCCATAGTGTAGAGCAACCAGCCCATACTCCATAGTGTAGAGTGATGGACAGCCGTTTTCGCGTAAGAGTGCAAGCGTCACCGAGGAGCCACTGCCGACCACCCATAACGCAGAGGGCTGGCGTTCGTACACGTGTAGGCGTGAGATCGAGAATAGGGCCCCTTCTGGATAACACGAGTAAGAACGTGGCTGGTCGCGAGTCGGTGGAGAATATCTTTAAGACATTTCGTATGGAGAATAAATGGAATGTCTTAAAGACATTACGCATGGAGAACGATCTGAGTATCTTAAAGATATTAAATATGGAGATTATCCGGAGAAAAAATCAATTGGAGAAACGCCGTGGAGAAGATTGTAATAAATACATGTATAAGAAGAGTGACTTAGCTTGAGTCAGATTGTCTGATCGGTGGCGTATGACATTATCTAATCGGCGTCAACATAATTGCTCGGCCATCAAGCTTTCCATCCGGTCGTCGTAGCGCTGTTCTTCGCGGCAATCATCGTTGCGATGAGGCAGGGCTCGCTTGATGGCTCACTTGACGGCTCGGACGGCTCGCTAGCGGCTCGACCTGGCTTGTTTAGCGGCTCACTTGGCGGCTCGATGGCTTTGATGCCGTCGGACAGGTGCTTTTGGTGTAATCATGTACGTGTCTTGATCTCTATACGTGCATGCTGGTGATGGGAGTTGGACGCCCGAGGCACCGCTCGATGCTGCCGAATGCCGAGGTCGCCCCTTTTCTCCAGTCACCTTCACGTCGATCTACCATAGGTCCATGTCGAGTTCCGTCGCAGCTGCCAGTAATTGTCATGAAGACAGATGGAAATAAAACAGATCGCATGTTTGTCCGCCTGCTTGTCTTGTAGATCGTACGCCTTCCTTATTTGTTCGCTGGCTAAGGGCAACGTGGCTGCGTGTATGCCTTTGTATCCTCCATGTAAATCCATCCGTGCGTGCCAAATTTGGCATCGTCGTAGTCGCCGATAGGAAAGCGCCTTTGCCTCCTGCCTTGACTCATACGCACAGCAAATCGATCTCAGTAGACGGATTGGAATCTTGGGAGCGCACAGCGGCGATCTGAGCTTCGCCTCGATTCACGTGCAACAGCAACCAGCAAAATAATTTGTCGCCGCCTTCCGTACAGGTACAGCACCGCGTTTAATTATCTGATCCGATCCGGTGGCTCCATTGGAACTTGTCGCCGAGAGAGACTCCCGGTAGCCGATGCACAGAACAGAAAGCTCCGACTAGTAGATTGATCCTTGGGAACACGACGTTGAATTCGACATGGAGTCTCGTCAGGTTGTAGGTGGACGCCATCGTAGCAGACCGAGTTGTCGCGAACGGTGTTGATCTTTAGGTACGCCATCTGGTTCGACGTGGAATCGGCATGCACACCCTCTACCTGGTGCGCCACTGTCGATGAAATACGGCCGGCAGTCTACCGAGGGATACGCCCACGGTATAGATGAATCGGTGGAGGTGCGCGAGATACGAACTAGATGGTCACAAAATACCGAGACAACGATTTAGGCAGATTCAGGCCGCTAGCTTGACGTAATACCCTACATCCCGTGTCTTTGGTGGATTGTATATTGTTATCAGGTATCTGGGGATTGCCGACTAGGCTCCCCTGCCCCTCGCCGACTAGGGTCCCCTGCCCCTCCTTATATACTCTGAATGGGTAGGGTTACAAGAAAAGTATCCTAGTCAGTTATACGGTAGGTATTCTATTTGGATTACAATCAGCCTGTTCGCTTGCTCGTAAACGATCGTAAATTTTCAGCCGGGAACAGTGTTTTTCTCTCACACCAAACCAGCCAGTAGTAAATAATCCACGATACGATACGGCCTCCCAAACAGGCTGAATATCTATAAGAGTCCTAATAGATCATATCTTCTAGATGTCTTGCGGTATACGCCGACCAGAGTCGTGCGCCTCAAGTTTTGATGTCGTGGGCTAGACCATCCTAGATGGTGCGGCCCATGTCCTTTGCTGTGGGTACATGGGGTTATACCCCATAAAAACCCAAGAAAAATTCTATCTCGTAATCAGGGCCGACCATCTACTTTTGGACTAGAGTAGGCGTAAGGGGTTATATGCAAGTTAAAGGGTCTGCATGGAACCAGATAAAGATAAACAAAACGTATAAGGGCACCCACAACAATAAGAGTTAGTTACTAGTTCTAAACCAACATCTCTAATAGTGTTAACTTTTAGCAATGACTCTTAGTATGATTATACCCACGTAATACTCTCACATGACTTTGGAACGTGTGTAAGAGCATAGCTTTTGACAAAAACTAGTTTTTCTCTCTCTTCTATTAAAATATAAAAAAATTCTGAGAGCTACTTTAAAAATGGATTGTTGGAGCTGCCCTAGATAGATGGTCATCTTTAAACTCCATCTTGTCCCCACCTATCCCACCCCTACCTGCCTCGCCCGACCCCAGACCACTAGCAACGTCCCTGCCCACCGCTGCCCACCTCTGTCGCTCCTTTGTTTCGTACTTCCCCAATTAATCCCAATCGGCTACCTTGCTGGTGGCTCCTCACCCTGCCGCTGGCTCTGCCCATCTAGATATCCCCCTGCTGACCACCCGGCAGTGCCCCCTCGGTCCCCCTAATGATTCTGTGAACATCCTCGCGCGTGTGTTGTCTCTGGTAGCGATGCAGGTGAGCCAAACAAAGATTGAGAGTTACATGGTCTATATGGAACCAGAGCTATATATTATAAACAAAGCATAAGAACACGGAGATTGATGAGTAGTAGAAGAACAATGAGATGGTGAATTTTATTCAGAACTTATTTGAATGTTTTGGGTTCTTCATAGTGTAGCACATACATGTGACCACCGGATGGTTTGTGTGTGCTAGTACATCACGAGCAACAAGATAAAGCTGATATTCCTTACAAATGCCTGAGTAGGAACAAGGCAACCATAGGAATACACACAAAAATCATCATATCATGAAGGGTTTCATGTGTTCTTCGAGAGCCGCAACCGGATTTTCAAGGGATTTGGTGTAGATGCGCCTGAAATCGCAGAGCGTGACAGTGCGGTAGCGCGGGGGATTGTTCTCGCTGAGGAGGCCGCCCGCGGGTCCAATGAGGCAATCTTGGGTCCCATGTATGGTTGTGACCACAGACATCCTTGCTTGCACCGAGTTGGTTATCACGCGGTGCTCGACGCTCTTTAGGATGCCATTTGTCACAACCTATTAACAGGATATATATAGTTAAAAACCAATGCAAGAGGCCGATGAAACATGTAGTTAGTACTAGTGTTATTGAGACTGTTGGAATAACAACGGACAATAATTGTAGGGCACAAATTAAGCTAGCAAGAAGATACATATATACCACAGTAATTAAAGTACTGCTACTGACCTCGAGATGCAGGCCAAAGTTGACGACGAATGAATTGCGCATGGGCTTGACCATGATCCAGTCACCTTTGTAGAAAACTTGGAGGCCAGGCACGGAGCTGGGGAGGACAAGTGTGATGAGGTTCCGGTCGCAGTGCGGTGGCAGGCCAAACGTGACGTCAGGGTTCGGGCACGGAGGGTACCGGTTGATACCGAGAATCATATCGCCACCAGTCTGGTCGCCATCGAAATAGTCAGAAGGAAGCCCCAGGCTCTCACAGAGCATGTGCAGCAGCTCCAGCACCAGGCCTCTCATCAGTGTAGTGTAGTTTTCAAAAACATTGCTGCCGGGAGATTTTGACGGAGGATATACATAACAAATAAATAGTCAGACCACCGAAACTATCACATGTATGTGTGCTGAAATTAGAGCTATTATATTACAGATCGAGAAGAGAATAACTGAAGGTAATTAATATGCATGAGGAAATATAATCGGAAATAAGTGAGTCCAGTCCAGTAGCTAGTCCTGATTATTCCTTACCGGAACTCCTCGGGCTTTTCGGGCCATTCTTTCTTGCTGTCGCCGCCGGGGGCGAAGGTGCGTGCAAGGCGGAGGCAGTCCATCCAGTACATCCTTTTGCTGTTCTTGTACGTAGAGCCCCAGAAGAGCCGGGTGGGTCTGTTTGTATCCTCTGAGTAGAAATGTGCCTTATCCGCAGCCGGCAGCTGGAAGAACTCTTCACTCACCGACACCACGTCCTGCAACACCTGCTCCGGGATTCCATGGTTGATAACCTGCGCGAGCACCGAGCGAGCATGCAGCACATGAAAACTTACTGACTATTTAATTTGGCTGCTGATTAATCGATATCGACTTCATTAGCTCATGGGTATGTATATATATATATATATATATATATATATGCTTTCCACTAGCCTGGAAGAAGCCAAACTCCTTGCCGGCGTCGAGCATAGCACGGCAAAGCTCGCCGCGGCTACGGGACAGGTCGATAACGGGCAAGGTGATGTCTGTGGGGGTCGCCTTCGCCTGTGGGAGCTGCGGGACAGCATAACTACTATTCGGGAGCGAAGCGTGGGACGGGTTCACGTGGAGCAAGTTTTCCTTTTCCATGGATGATAATTTGAGAGATGTGGCGATGGGAGTAGTAGGATAGGAGTGTCGAGGGAGAAGCTCGATCTTGTGCTACTTATAATTGGGTCTGCTGTGTGCAGACGATCGTTGGGATGTCTTGTTAGCATGTCCCGACAACACACACGTCTGCAATGGCGTGGACATAGCTTGTTGTTGAGATTGAAAGCTAGTGGGCGATGACATGGATATCTTGCTGCTGAGATTGAAAGATAGTGTCATGATGATGTGGCATGTAGTTGAGGACAAATGACGTGGACAGTTTACTAGAGATAGGAAGCTAGTGAGGTTTGTTTTCATAAGATAAAAAGACGTATATTCTGATTCAAGTTAGCTGTCAACGTAGTGGCATCCAATGGATGTCGACACGATGAGTAGTTCGTCTATTTGCATGTTAACATTCAAAGCCAGTGGAATTTGTTTTATACGCTTAAACGTTTAAATTGTTTGCAGTTAACTAACCTCTAGTTGAGAAAATCTTGTTTCAGTATGCCATGATAGTTAATGCATAAACATGGAGGAAATTTGTTGCCTCCAATGGCCCACTGTCACTAACCAGAACAACACATCACTACCAGATTTTTGAACCGGCAGTACGAAAGCGGCAGTGATGAGGTTTCTAGAAAACCCAAAAACCAGTAGTGCATTGTTTAAAACGAGACAATAAGGTAATCATAGAATCCAACAAAAACCTAATAAAACATTAGATCGAGTTAATTATATGATGATGGAACTACAAAACAAATAGCATGATGTAAATGACTTGTATTTTGATAAATTGGAAATAGTAATTGCACTTAGGGGGATGATGTTGATTGCTTTTGCACATGAAGGGATTTCAAGTTGTGTGTGTGTGGCGGGGGGGTTTAGCCAAGGCATTTAGTGGGGGTGGCGTAGATAACTTGCATTGAATGTATAGATTGAAAGCTAGTGTAGCATGATATATCATTTAGCGGCGATGGCGTGGACATAGTTTGTTGTTGAGATTGGAAGCTTGTCGCTGATGACGTGGATATTTTGCTGTTGAGATTGAAAGATAGTGTCGAGATGATGTGGCACGTAGTTGAGGACAAATGACGTGGACAGTTTACTAGAGATAGAAAGCTAGTGAGGTTTGTTTTCATAAGATAAAAAGACATATTCTTATTCAAAGTTAGCTGGCAATGTAGTGGAATCCAATGGATGTCGACATGATGAATAGTTCGTCTGTTTGCGTGTTAAGATTCAAAGCTAGTAGAATTTGTTTTATACGCTTAAACATTTTGTTTGTAGTTACCTAACCACTAGTTGAGAAAATCCTGTTTGACCATGTCATGATAGTTAATGCATAAACACGGTGGAAATTTGTTGCCGCCAATGGCCCACTGTCACTAGCCCAGAACAAGACGTCACTGCTAGTTCAAAATTGCTATCACTGACCGATTTTTGAACCGGTAGTAAGAAAGTGGCAGTGATGAGAACTCATCACCGTCGGTTCTAGAACCGGTAGTTATGATGTTTCTAGAGAACCCAAAAATCGGTAGTGCATTGTTCTAGTTAAAACGGGACAATAAGGTATTCTTTTAGTGGTAGGCGACGTGTCCGTCTACAGTGAGGCGCATGTGGTGACTTCGTCAATCTCGAGATTTGCCGGTCCAACTCAGTTCTTCGGAGGTGCTTATAGGGGTAGGGTGTGCATACGTGCACTCGTGTATGTGAGCATCTGCGTCTGTAATTGCGTCTCGCAAAAAAAAAAGAATCCAACAAAAACCTAATAAAACATTAGATCGAGTTAATTATATGTTGATGGAACTATAAAACAAATAGCCTGATGTAAATGCATTATTTTGATAAATTGAAAATAGTAATTGCACTTAGTGGGATGATGTTCATAGCTTTTGCGCATGAAGGGATTTCAAGTTCGGGATGTATAGCCAAGGCATTTTATTAGGGATGATGTAGATAACTTTCATTGAATGCGTAGATTGAAAGCTAGTGTAGGATGATCTGTCACTTAGCGGCCATGGCGTGGACAAGCTTATTGTTCAGATTAAAAGCTGTCGGGCGATGACGTGGATATCTTGCTGTTGAGATTGAAAGATAGTGTCGACATGATGTGTCATGTATGTGGTTGAGGACAGATGACATGGATAGTTTACTAGAGATTGAAAGCTAGTGAGGTTTGTAGCCTATAAAATATAGCCGAAGCATGAAGGAATAGTGTAGAGAGAAGAGGAACCAACAAAGTAGTAGCTGCCTCCGTCTACTGCTTCATGTTTACTACCACTCCCCCCAAGGCCCAAACTCCTTCGCTCTGCATCAGAGGCCAGTCCGTCATAATTCACCCCTGTTTTATCCATGGAGAATATGCTCCACCTAGCCCCGTCCCAAGCGCTGCCCATGGACCGCTCCATCTTCTTGCGTGAGCAGCTGCCGCCGGCCATCTCCGCGGTCGACTCCCTGCCAGTGATCGACATGTCCCGCAGCCGCGACGAGGTCCGCCGTGGCATCCTTGACGCCGGCGTGGAGTTCGGCTTCTTCATGGTGAGAATGAGATGGGTGCATGCAAACCGCCGCCAGCAAGGCAACCATTAGGCGCTATTCGTTCTACCTCTTAAAATTTAATCCTTTGTCACATCAGATGTTTAACACTAATTTAAAGTATTAAACATAGACCGTTACAAAAATAATTGCACAGATTACGACTAATTTACGAGACAAATCTGTTAAATTTAATTAGTACATGATTTGACAATGTGGTGCTACAATAAACATGTGCTAATGATGAATTAATTTGGCTTAATAAATTTGTCTCACAAATTTATAACGACTCCTGTAATTAGTTTTATAATTAGCTTATGTTTAGTCCTCAAATCTAACATCCCAATATCCGATAGCCCTGAATCCACCCCTTATCTAATTTTGTTCTGTTTGCAACACCACACGTACGTAATAGGACACAGGTATAGTAATTAATACGTGCGACAATAATGCAAGTGCAGGTGGTGAACCACGGTATCCCCGAGGAGGTGATGCGCGACATGGCGGAGGTGTGCGAGGAGTTCTTCCAGCTGTCGGCGGCGGACAAGGCGTACATGTACTCGGAGGACAGGCACAAGCCCAACCGCATGTTCTCCGGCGCCACCTACGAGACCGGCGGCGAGAAGTACTGGCGGGACTGCCTCCGCCTCGCCTGCCCCTTCCCCGTCGGCGACGGCACCAGGGACTGGCCGCACACGCCCCAGAGGCTGAGGGGTGTCATCGAGCACTTCACCACCCTGACGAGAGGAGTGGGGATGGAGCTGCTGCAGCTGCTGTCCGAGGCCATGGGGATCCGGCCTGACTACTTCGAGGGCGACATCAGCTCCAGCGACGTCGTCCTCAACATCAACCACTACCCTCCGTGCCCCAACCCGGAGAAGACGCTCGGCCTGCCGCCGCATTGCGACCGGAACCTCATCACCCTGCTCCTCCCCGGCTCCGTCTATGGCCTCGACGTCGCCTACAAGGGAGAGTGGATCAAAGTTGAGCCCATGCCTGGTGCCTTGGTCGTCAACTTCGGCCAGCAACTCGAGGTCCATCCTAGCTAATTTTATCTGATGGTCCATCACTTGTACTAGGTTATTATGCATGCATGGTTGCCTCAATCAAGATCGTTAGATTAATTGCATGATTTGGTCGTCTTGCATTGCATGCAGGTTGTGACTAATGGACTGCTCAAAAGCATTGAGCACCGCGTGGTGACCAGCTCGACGCTGGCGCGGACGGCGGTGGCCACGTTCATCATGCCCACCCCAGACTGTCTCATCGGCCCCGCCAAGGAGTTCGTCGCCGAGGACAGGCCGCCGTGCTACCGCACCGTCAGGTTCCGTGACTTCATGCGCATATACAACGTTGTCAAGCTGGGGTCATCTGTCAACCTGACTACAGACCTTAAGAATGTCCAGAAGGAAATATGAACCAATGCAAAAAGCAAGTCAGGGATCGACTGGTTCTCCAAGAGTTTATCTGTTTCCCATATCCGCAGCTTAATTATCACACAGGCTACACAGATACCTGTTGTTACATGTAGCTGCTGGATTGTAATAATACCGTACCTGTCCTGTTATTCGGGTGATCATGTTATGAAGCAAGAAAAATGGACAAATTTTAATAATATTATTAATTGGAGGCATCCAACGTTAATCCTGACGAGTTGTGATGAAAAATAAAATCCTAGAAATCTTAATATTACTACTAACTAGAGGCACTCACGTTAATCCTTATGTATGTGATATGCCACAAAAAATAAATCTTATAAAATATCACAAAGAATAGAAACATGTACCGTACCTTTGCTACACTACTACAGATTCGACATTCCGTGCCGGCACCATCAGTGTCGGTTTCTAGTGAAACGGTAGTGATAACCCTTCACTGCTGGTTCTGAGCTTTAAAATAAAAAAAATAATTGGGGGTCACCAAAAACCGACAGTAAAGGTCCACATCACTACCAGTTTGTGGCTAGAACCAGCAGTAAATGGACGGTGATATATCACTGCCGGTTCTAGACACAAATCAGTAGTGATTTGGTGCTAGCACTAACGGTTTTTGTCTTAAGCCGGCGGTGATTAACCTCAGTACAAAAGCTATCATCCTCTCCTCCCTCCTCTCTCCCATCTCAAGCACACTCATCCAGCAGGCGCGCGTTTTCCCCACTCCCTTCAGTGTTGTGGCCTTTCTTTCGCCAAAATGCTCAATGAAACTCTTAATTTCATTTTGAAGCATGGGCATGATCTTCTTGCTTTAAGGTTAGTGACAAGCATCCACTCCTTTGAATTTGTAGCTTTACAGTTGTTTTGATGGCTAAATTGCTTGTTTCTGATTCTAATTGTTTCTCCATTTTAGAGAGCACTTTCCAATTGGATTTTGAGGAAGCATCCAAATTGTGGTGAATCCATCTTCCAAAAGGTTAGTATCTATGAACCCATTTTATTTCATAGCTAATTAATTACATGGTGGTTTTGATGATTGTTAGTATGATTGGAGTAGAGTAGATATTTTTCAATAGGGCTGCCAATTTCCATTTTGATGAGCAAATCAGCCCAATGTTTGGAGTTATATTGTTGTTCATGATTAAGTCTTCAATTTTAATTTTTTTTGTAATAAGTGTCTCCATTTTTATGTGGCATGAAGTAGTGTTCTTGATGAGTGTAAAATAATCATTTTTTATGGGGCTACGATTTTTAATTTTTATGGGGCTACCAATTTCAATTTTTCAATAATTAGTATAGAATAATTGTTTTTCAAAATAGGGCACCCAAATTAAATTATTCTAGAATAAATTATAGTTTTGAGCTACAATTACTCTCCCTATTTTTATGTGGCATGAAGTCTAAATGTACGATCTGGACGGAACGGACATGTGGTACTTGATTGGTGTCTGCAACTTCGTTTGGGATGGACAACTTATATTCTGACCATGCAAAGATTGCAAAAATAAAAGGAAATGGGGTAACATGAGTCTATACAAATGCACTTGATTACCGGGGGTTCATGAGAGACTACAAGATATGGAGTATGCATTGGGAGGTTGGTGAGAATGTACTGCAAGAAAACAATGATGATGTGGAAGATCTGAAAAAAAACGTTGGACTAGGTTTGTTTCGAACAGTTCGTGATGCATAAAAAACGAATATACTTCTAACCTACAACTGTGAGTATATGTTTTAGGCTCTTATTTTTATGTTTCTTATTTTATTTTGAAGATTATTCGTTAACAAGGACTTTGTGATTGTAGACACCATTTCGTCCTCGTTGATATCAATATTCCTAAAAAATGTTTCGAGGTGTGGGACTCCAAGAAAAAACCACTTTTCTATTGTAGATCCCCTAGTCAAAGTACTGAATAAGTAAACCTAACAACATATTTGTCGGTGTTTCGAACAAACACCGGCTAGTAAATTTATAATTATTGTGTGTTAGGCTCGGATGTTGTACTAAAGGACACAAGGTTTATATTGGTTCAGGTAAAATGTCCCTACGTCCAGTTTACTGCTGCTCGTGTTTTTAGTACCGAAAAAGGTTCGTAGTAGGGGGTACAAACGGTCGAGAGAGGGAATGTCCCAAATCTCTGATGAAAAGGTTGAAAGGACGCCAAGAGCTCGGTTGCTGCTTGGCTATGTCTTGTGTGTCAAAACGATCGGTCCCCTTAGTGGGTGCCCTACCCTCCCTTTTATAAACAAGGGGGGAGCAGGGGTTACAGACGGGAGAAAGAGGAAAAAACCAAAGGTAGAGAAGGTCCTTCGAGGGAGCCGGGTCTTTCTTTTCCCGTGTGCCTTCCCTGCTAACATGGCAGACCATGTCAGGAATGGCGTGTTCGTTGATCCTTATAGGGCCGTGCCCTGGCCTCTTTCAGCAAGTGGGTGCGTCCCATCCTACACCGGTGGATGGTGCGGCGTGCCAGAGAGCCGAGCTGTGACCCTTCGGAGAGTAGACGGGGAAGTGACCATACGTCCGTCATTGTAGATGATGTGAGTTCTGTCTTGGATCATAGTGGTTGTCGTATGCTCATGTTAGTATCCGCGTCCGAGGGCTGATGGCGGCACCTACAACACTGTGGGACAAAAGTCGGTGCCTACAACACTGTTCGGGCTCTGTCAGGTCGAAAAGGGCCTAAAGCGCTTGTCCCGTCGTATCCTGACAGTACCTTCCTGCAGGCATGCAGGGCATGGCCCTCGATACTATGGTTGACTCGAATGTCTTGTCGAACCCTGTGCTCGTATTTATGAAGGAACATGGTGTAGTCGTCGGGTGAGGCAGAGCCTGCCCTCGGCCGTCGGATGAGGCAGAGCCAGCCCTCAGCCATCGGGTGAGGCGGAGCCTGCCCTCGGCTGTTGGGCGAGGCAGAGCCAGCCCTGAGCCATCTGGCAAGGCGGAGCCAGCCCTCAGTCGTCGAGCGAGGCGGAGCTAGCCCTCAGCCGTCGGGCGAGGCGGAGTCTAGCCTTAGCCATCGGGCGAGGTGGAGCTAGCCCTCAGCCATCGGACGAGGTAGAGTCTAGCCCTCGGGGGTTGGGCGAGGTGGAGCCAGCCCCCAGGCGTCGGGCGAGGCAGAGCCTGCCCTTAGCCGTCGGGCGAGGCAAAGCTAGCCCTCAGCCATCGTTCAAGGCGGAGTCTAGCCCTCGGGGGTCGGGCGAGGTAGAACCAATCTTCCGTCGTTCGGGCAAGAAGTGTAGTAGCGTTCTTGTCTGACCGAAAGCGTCAACGTTCGATGGTTATTAATTCCACCTCATTAGGTACCTCGGTATTAGGTCCTCGAAAGTTGCCCCCAAGCCCTCGGATGATTCGGATAGAATCCTCCAGGGGGTATTTTGACTTGCCAGAGGGTGCGCGCGAGCGCACCCGACGGGTGTAGCCCCTGAGCCCTCGGGTGATTCGGGCAAAATCACCCAGGGGGTATTTCGATTCGCCAGAGGGTGCGTGCGAGCGCACCCGTCGGGTGTAGCCCCCGAGCCCCCGGGTGATTCTACAGATTCGCCTATGGGGTATTTCGATTCGCCAGAGGGTGCGTGCGAGCGCACCCGTTGGGTGTAGCCCCTGAGCCCCCGAGTGATTCGGATAGAATCGCCCGGGGGGTAATTTCGGACCCTTCATGGGTATGGCTGTGAGATTTGGTTTTTTTGTCAATCTGGACAGTTTGAAGGAAATCCTGGTATCCCATTCACGGGGATTCATCCAGGGTTTGCCCGGTTGGGACTTGATTGCGCATCGAGGCTCCCTTGAGGCTTGTGTGCCTGAGTTCTGGTCGCTCGTGGGCCCATCCCTCGTTGGGACGGCCATCGAGACTGTTGGGCCGGCCCTTGGACTCCTAGGCCTAGGCAGGCCGGTGAAAAAGCTTTTTTGACCCGTATCCCCTTTGTTGGAAAAGAGTCCTGGTCTACTTGGGAAGTCGAAACGCCCAGCGTGATTTTGGTGGGAAAGGATAGGGATCGTGGGCGCATATCCCACGACATGATGTGGTGGTGTATCATGGCAGGCTCAGAGACCGGGGCGGGCGGTTGCTCTTCTCGCATCCGTCGCCCCTATAAAACCACAGGGTTCGCCCCCAGGGTTCTGTACTTCGCCTCCTCACCTTCGCATCTACAACCTCCACCGCCAATCGCCTGAGCCTCCCGCACCCGCATCGCTACCGCTGTCAAGCTCACATCCGCATCGCAGCCGCCGTCAAGCTCGCATCCACCCCCTTCCCCATCGTTTCAATGGAGCCGTGGTGCAGATCCAACATCAGCCCTCAGCGCTTGGAGGGCCTCATTCGCCGTGGCCTCCTTTGCCCGTTGATCGCCGTCGAGGAGTGGCGGCTGCCCGGTGATGAGGACGAGCCGTCGCCGCCCGAAGGATATGTTGTGTCCTTTGCTCACTTCCACGAGCGGGGATTCGCCATACCTACTCATAAGTTCCTTTGGGTGCTGTTGGATTACTACCAGGTGGAGTTGCAGTACCTTACTCCCAATGGGGTCCAGCACATTGCGGCGTTCATCGCCCTGTGTGAGGGGTTCCTGGGGATTAGTCCCCACTTCGATCTGTGGCGGTATCTCTTCGCCGTCAACCTGTCGAAGAAGCGGGTCGGGAAGCAAGAGCTGAGCATGCTGATAGGATGTGCCAGCATTCATCTGTGCAACAACCGGGTGAACGACTACCCATCGATGCGTCTGTCAACCTCCAACAAGGGGTGGCATTCGCATTGGTTTTACGCCAAGGACGACGTGGCCGCCCCCTTGCCGGTGTTCTCCGTGCGCATCATCGAAGAGGTCCCGGGGTCATGGAAGTGGGGTGTCCCAGACAAAGATAAGAAGAGGATCAAGGACCATCTCGCCGCCCTCTAAATTCTGGAGGAGAGGGGCATGAAGGGATCGGGGATCCTCGGTGCCTACCACACGCGGAGGGTGGTGCCAATGATGAGCCGTGTGCTCCCCTTATACCT